GGAAGGGTGGATGATGCATCCGTCAAGAAGAATGTTAAAACCATCATATGCTATTCCTGTTCATGAATAATTACCTGTCAGGACCTCACTCTGGTAGTAGCTAAAGCCCTTAGCAGGTACCTGCAACCATCAATACTTGATACCACTAAAATACCTCTGCCTTATTCACAAGAAAACCCAGATGGTCTTCCACATAAACTGTTACTCTCCTGTATCAGCAGAATGGTGGTGGTGGCACTCCTGGGACCTGGCAGCATGGCAGAATGCAGAGGCTGGACTCCGCTACAGTCAGGACTCACTTCTGCTGAGCTTCGGGGGCCAGCCTGGTCCCGAGGGGGCATGGAGGCCACGCCCTGGGAGTGGAGGGTCAGCGGGTCTCCGGAGGTCGGCCCTGGAGAGCCCTCAGCGGCAGAGAACGTGACCTTGGCGCCCGGCTGCCACCGGAGTTGTCAGACCACGGCCCGAGGCTCCCTCGCGTCCCTGCACATGGGTGTCCCTCCCACCATGGCAGTGCAATCTTTAATTTAATCTGTTACTACTTGTTATATGGACCTGAAGATATTTTATTACAGGGTTTTTCATTAGTGAAAAATTCATGCCTACCATAGAGAAAATATTTTAGAATTTAATGTTTCTTATATTTATGTAAACTTATGACTTCATTTATATGCTTATTCTTGTATATTCAGGCTATGAATATACTTTCAGATCAATTCATGTTCTGATAAATGATTTTAGTCTTTCAAATGAATGTACTGTACTGCTTGCCTGTATAAAGCCTATGAACAAACATAGGGCTTTTGTAAATGATGCATTTATTGTCATTATCGTTCTTTAATTTTTAAATGAGAAACCACGAGAGAAGGGGTTTTCCTGCGATTGTAAAACCATCATGACACGGTGTGCATTATCCTTCCAGAATGTTAACCAAGCTCTCCAACAATCACTCTGAAATGAGCAAACTTAATTTCAACCAATTGTCGCATTTTAACGACTGACTTAAACTGTACTTTTTCCAGCAAGAAATGCTTTTTGCCTGCAGCGTGAAGTGACGTAAAAGTATGGGTGCTGAATGTGAGCTTCTACTGAAATCTGGGCTGAAAGCATGACTAGAAGCCTATGACAATCTCTCCCATAACCTGGTCTCTATGGACCCGGATCCCTCCTCTCCACTGAGACTTTTCGGGGACCAATCACGATGCCCTGCGCCCGCTGCAGAGCTGATGCACTGGACGGTGAAGGAGCCACATCCCTGACAGACAGACAGCGTAGTGCAGCTCTGACGAAGGCCTTATTTTTCTTCTGTAAATCATCTTTTTACATCTGTTTGTAAACTTGTTAAAAGAATGGATCTAGGCATACATTTTTAGATTTTGATGACATAGCCATTCTGGATTGTATAGGTAGCAAATGTAACTTTTACTTGTTCAGTGGCACATTAAAAAAGCCAGCAAGAGATGCGTTCAGATCACGGTGTGTTGTTTATTATGCCGCTGATATCTTGGTAGACAGAGACGGCATGTCTCTTTACATGTGGGTAGCGCCTTTAACTTACCTGTACAGTTCACTGTTACCATTCTGTTTTTCTATTAATCTTTTGTGAACTTCCTGAATATGTGAGAAAGTACGTACAGTTTACTTTTGAACAATTTTTATCACAGTATTATTTATTGCTTTCTTTCAATAAAGTACTGAAGCCAAATGTCCCACTGCCAGTTAAGAGTGCCGAGGGTAAGCTGGACTCTCACTGAGAACAGGCCCGAGCTGGTAATGGGAGCCCGTGTCATCACATGGGCCCTCTGGTAAGAGAAACGCATGGAGAGAATGGAAAGGCTAGAAGGGGGAACTATAGGTGTCCCCAAAGGATGACCGATGGGGTGTTCATGCCTTTGGATCCAGAGACAAGAGGCTCCATCACTTCAGCATCTTCGGGGACAGGACCCCTCTGCTGCAGAGGCGAGGGCAGTGGGCCGAGGGTGGCAAGAGAGTGCAGGTGTCAAGGCTCACCGAGGGTGCCCGGGCGGGGTGGCCAGGGGAATGCACTAGAGAGTGTGCATGTGCATGCTTGTGTATGGGAGCTGTTTATGTTAATTTAGTCAACAGTCTTTATTATTCATATACCCATAGAAACAAGAATGTAGCAAGGGGAGGTGGCAGGGAGATTCACGAGGGACGGGACATACGTACACCTATGGCTAATTCATGTTGATTTACGACAGAAATCAAACCGATATTGCACAGCAATTATGCTTCAGAAAGAAAGAACATACAAAGGTGGTCAGGAACGTATGAAAAAAAGATTTCTCATAGAGATTTTTTTTTCTCATGGAGATTTACAATCACAACTCTGTGTACATCTGGGTGCAGGCTGCCCACCATCATCAGACTGGCCCACAGCATCAGACATTCCTCCCCAGCATCAGGCCCTCCCCCAGCATCAGACCATACTACAACATCAGACACTCGCCCAGCAACAGGCCCTCCCCCAGCATCAGACCCTAGTCTAGCATCAGACATTCCCCCAGCCTCAGACCCTAGTCCAGCATCAGAAGACACCCCCCCCCCCAGCATAAGGCCCTAGTCCAGCATCAGACACTCGGCCAGCAACAGGCTCTTCCCCGAGCTTCTGATCCTAGACTAGCACAAGACGCATCAGACGTACCCCCTCAACATCCGGCCCTAGTCCAGCATCAGACCCACCCCCAGTGTCAGGCCCTCCCCCAGCATCAGGCATGGCAGCCCCACTTGTCTGATGCTCCTGAGCACACTCAGGCAGCCCCTGAGCAGCACAACAACAGCTCGTGCAGGAGGTGCATCTGTAGGAATCACCTGCAGAGCAGCAGCAGCTGGGGTCTGTTTCAGGTCAAGGAGAGGTGGAGGGGCACTTGTGGAGGAGGCAGCCATGCTGTAGGCACGCTCCCCAGCTCTGCTTCCTCCCCATGGGGGCTCTGCTCTCCTGCTCTCTCACAGGCCCCAGGGCAGTGTCCTTCCAGATTCACGGTCGCCTTGATATCTCAAGCCCAAGTTCTGAGTTGCCACCCAGTCCGGCGAGGCAGAGGGCTGGGAGCACCCACGCTGAGGGGCTGAAAGGATCCCAGGGGGACAGCCGGGCCCCAGTGGGTGGCGGGGCAGGGGATGAGGGTGGCCGCCCACAGAGGGCCCCGCAGCAGCACTGCAAGGACAGCAGCGATGCCTCAGCTCACTCGGGGACGCTGCCGGCCTAGCACTCAGAGATGTTACCGCCGGCAGCAGCTCTGGGGATGCAGGAAGCCCGGTGAGTGACACCACGCTACTCAGGCCGTGTGCATGGGCACTGCTGACCATGGCCTCGGTTTTCATTCTGGTTCCAACTGTCCCTCCAAGGGCTGACGGGCTCCTCTTCTGAACGGCACACTTGTTTTATGTGGGTGAAGGTGTCCCTGCTTGTTTCTGTCCGCACTGTCGCCACTCGTCGTGTGGTTTCCTCCTTACAACCTGTGCTTGCGGCTCTTCCAGTTTAACTTAGGAGCAGCCCTTCTTTTCTGCATTTCCTAGTTGTCAGCGTTCACGGGGCCTTTCCAGGTGGCGCGAGCTGTAGAGATCTTGCCTGCCAATGTGAGAGATAACGAGATGTGGGTTTGATCCCTGGGTCGAGAAGATGCCCTGGAGGAGGGCATGGCAGCCCACTCCAGTATTCTTGCCTGGAGAATCCCATGGACAGAGGAGCTAGCGGCCTACACTCCCTGGGGTCGCAATGAGTCAGACACGACCGAAGCAGTTTAGCACACACTCAGGCTTTAGTTCAGTCGCTCAGTTGTGTCCAACTCTTTGCCACTCTGTGGACTGCAGCACTCCAGGCTTTCCTGTCCTTCAGTATCTCCTGGAGTTTGCTCAAACTCAAGGCCATTGAGTCAGTGATGCCATAGAACCATCTCATTCCTGTTGCATCCACCAGAGCGGTGGCTGGGGCTCGGCAAAGTGCATGGTCCCACTGCGTGGGTGTGCACCTGCCCTCACCACTCCCTGACCGCGTGACCATCACTGTGTCCTCCTCTGTAAATCGGGAGGTGGCAGCCCCTGCTTGGGAAGGGGCACACCCAGCATCTGGTATATAATCAATGCACCATCCATCTCAGCGTTGTCTTTACTAATAATAGGGACAGCATTTAATAAGCTGCTCCTTTTTCTCTCGTGTGTCTTAACTGTGGTCCAGACCACATCTGTTTTACTTACCCCTGGGTGTATATCCCACACCCAGCACAAACAAGATACTGTACAAATATCTGGCTGAAGAGGCAGGAACATACCCTGTCCTCAAGGAGGTGAAGCCGAGAGAGATGGGGGCCTGATGCTCATGCTGGGTGATGAGGAGACCCCAGGAGGACCTGTGTGACTGTGGGGGTCGTGGGCAGAACCCCTGAGGAGCTCCTGGGGACGAGGAAGGTGGCAGGAAGGAGGAGGAGGGCTGCTCCTCGTGGGATGTGCACAGATTGGACCTCACCCCTCACTGATGAGCACTTAGGCCGTTTCCAAACACTTGTCAGTGTTCTGGAGGAGTCAATCATTGCCCAGCTCCTACTCAATCAACTTCATAGAATATGTTTCTAGCGTTGGAGTATAAACATCTGCTTTATTCATTCCATGCTTCGTTCATCCACCCATCGAGCCAGCCATCTCTTCAACCATCCATACACTCACTAGTCCATATTCCACCCACTCACGAATTCTGTCGACCCATCAAGCCAGTCATCTGTTCATCCATCCATCCACTCACTAATCCATCCATCCATCCACTCACTAATCCATCCATCCATCCCTCTAGACATAATTCATCCACACATCCACTCATTAACTCATCAGATCATCTTGGACCCACCAAGAAGACGGATGCCTCCTCCACTCTTGCTCCCAGGAGGACCCCGAGTGTGAGTGACAGGAGCCTCGTGGGGCAGGGGGGGAGACACAGAAGGGACAAGCCTGCAGGTTCTCTTCCCTCTCAACGGGGAAGCACCCACCTGGTCCTAAGGCCTCCTTGCCGGGTGTCCAGGCTGGCCCTTTTCCTTCTTTCCAAACAAGCGGCCGATGCACGACTTGATGCCCTTCTTCGGGGCTTTGTGCAGCAAGTCCTGGCTGATGGTGCTGCTGCTGGGGTTGCCCCCGGGGCCGTCCTGAGAGCCGGTCGAGATTCGGGGAGCGAGAAGGACCTTTAACCAGCGGCCTCGTGCAAACACACACCCCTCCTCAAGATCTACTGTTAGAACCGGCCACCCAGCAACACCCGCGCCTCAACCTCAAGCACACAGTGGAGGCTGCTTCACCAACCACACTCCACACAAGCAATGCAGGCTCCCGGCCACAGACATCCGCCCCAGGAAGCTGAGAGTCTCCGACTGGAGCCCCCCCCCCACCCCGGGGAGGGCTTGACTCCAGGCCAGCTGGTGCAGAGGGTGCTCCGACCCTCCCTCAGGTTCGCCGCTTGGCAGGTGACGAGGCTCCCAGAGAAGGCAAGCTCCCCCGCTCCGGGCAGCTCCACCCCACCTCTGCAGGGTGGCCGTCCCCGGCCGTGGCAGGAGAGCTGCTGCACAGGAGACCACACGTGCCCTCCATCGAGTGCTGCCTGGCTGAGGACGGGAGCTCAGCAGGCGGTGGTCTGAATGAGGACAGTGTCAGTCACAGGAGGGGATGGAGTCTCCTGAGAGGAGACCCTTGAGGAAAAGGGAGGGACCCTCAAGAGGGAACACGAGAGGCACGGGGCCATCACCCTCGGGAACGCGCCCTGGGCGGGGCAGACCTCTAGCAAGAGCAGGAAGAAAGCTCCCACAGCGGGGTCAATCCGTAGAGATGGACGTTTTCTAAAATCAGTGAGGCCACTGAGCTCTTCTCCCACAGCACCTGAAGTTCACCACTAAACACAGGCACCGAACCCAGTGGGATTCCTTTAAAATCATCCTTCTAACTCTTTCAAGAGAACAGGTGCAGGGCTCCTGAAACTGACGACGAGGCGCGCAGACCCCTTACTTGCAGGTGTCCCTGACGTCCTCTGGGCTGGCTGCGCGCAGCACCCCCGTGTGCAGCCGGTCCAGCCAAAGGGACTGCGGCGAGGCAGGGCTCGAGGCTTCACATTGGATGGCAGTCTTGTCATCTTCTACCTCTTCCATTAAAGCTGGCAGCTGAGTGAGACAGGTGTAAAATGGCAGTGTAAAACTGGCTAATGATAGACTGTGTTGAAAAAGGCAACCTCACAGGCTTTACATTATAACCAGAAACTTATTTGTAAATCTATTTGCTATGCTTTCCTCCAAGTAGCAAAAAACAAAAACAAAAACAAAAAACCCTTGTTCCAGCTTAGTGCCATCTTACAGGACTGTCTTGTTCAAGAGAAGCGGGGCATGGGGCAGCGAGAGCACCTGACTGAGTGCAGACACCCTGGACGGGAGCCTCCCTGAAGCCGGGCTCCGCCCTCCCTGGAATCCAGCGACCAGATGGCCCCGCCGGGCAGGAGAGCAGAGTGACGCCAGCACCGTGAACCCTGCATGGCATGAACTGCCCTGAAGAAAGGACTCTGCTCATCGCCAGATGCTGCTTCCACTAGCAAGAGGAAGAAACCTCTCAGCAAAGCCGTCCAGACCTCTCTGTTTGAAGAAAAAAAGGACACAGCTTGTGCCACCACCCAAGATCATTTGTTGTCATGATGCAGCCTACTGGAACCCAGGACAACAAGGGAAAGACAGAAAAGGTACCTAACCCGGCATGCGAACACCACGTGACTGGCTCATATTTCTCAGTAACGGACAGACTGGGGGCTACACGCTGAAGTGCTCCCTCGCAGTCCGAGTGTACTTTGCTCACTGTGGTTTACATAAAGCACCCCTAGGTCTTCACTAAGAGATGACCTTGTATGAGACTAGAGGGGTGGGATGGGGAGGGAGATTCAAAAGGGAAGGGGTATATGTATACCTACGGCTGAGTCATGCTGAGGTTTGCCAGAAAAGAACACAATTCTGTAAAGCAATTATCCTTCAATTAAAACATAAACCAATTGAAAAAAAAAAAAAACATGTTTCTCCTGGAGTCCCAGCTTTTCCGCTGGTCCTGGGTGTGAGGACAGGAGAGACAGTGGTGGTAACAGTGTGGGGAACAGATTAACCCCTTCAGGGTCCAGACAGGTCTCACTAGTACATTTGGGTGTGTGGTTAAGCCTGGGGAAGTTTCAGGAAACATGCATGGCAAGTATTTTTGTAAACAATGAGTGTGTTGTTTTAACCAACTAACCTGTGCCTTTTTAGTGGGATTCTCTAAAGAATACTGATCCACTGCAGCCCCACAGGAGCTTGGTGACAACAAAGTGACTTAGTGCAAAATACAGCTGAGCCCGTTTAACAGCAGCTGGATAAACTATGCACCCTCCCCTGATCTCCAACAAGAACCCTCAGACAACAGAAGGCTACAGAGGCTGGAAATGATCCCCACGGAACTGAACAGGGATCAGTCTCAAATTCAAGTTACAATAAGCCTTTATAAAAATCAGAAAACAACAAAAACAGAGTGGGAAATGACACGCCTGGGCTGACCGTGGACTCAGGGGAGACAAACACCTGCCTCAAAGTCAGGGACCGCAGCCAGCCCCTTCCTTCCCCGGGCCTCCTCCTGAGGAAGGCCTCTGGGTCCCCAGCCTGGCCGCCCGCCCCCAGGAGGGAAGCCCGCCACCCTGGTGCCCATGTGACTAGGATGGGCAGGACCGTGTCCTCACATAACAGGAGGGCACAGCAGGCCACAGAGCTGGTGAGCAGCACACCCAGGTCACCAGCCCCAGGGCACAGTGCTGCTCCGCAGTGCCCAGCAGAAGGGCTCCCGGGCACTGAGCTGCCTGAACTGGAGCGCGGCTGCCCGAGTCCTGCGGGAAGGTCGCAGGAGTGGTCGGTCAGTGGGCTGGGAGTGGGAGAGGGACAAGGACGGCCAGCCTTCGGGGCACTGGACTCAACAACAGGGGCTCATCCAAGGGACCCGAGGGGAGAGGCAGCGAGCTCCCTCCTGATGCTCCCTCCATCAGGGATGCCGTGAGGGACACGAGGGCCTCTGGAGGAAAGCGGGCTGGACGGCAGCAGGGTTAAGTGTCCAGGCTCTCATCAGACCAGTCCGCACCACACTGCTGGCTGTGCGAGCCTGGGCACAGGGCCCGGCCTCTCTAAGCCTCAGTGTCCACATCTGCTGAATGGGGATGACAGCAGCCGGGACCTCACCTGGGTGTCTGCCAGATGAGATGACAGGCTCGGAAAGCACTCGACAAGCTGCCTGGTGCACAGAGGCTCCTGCACACTGCTACCCCCGTCATTAGACTGGCATCCCGCAAAGCTACCGCCTATGGCTCGGATTCAGCCGTTTCTTTGAATGGAAATTTCCACACTGAGTGGAAATTCCACTGTGGTCCAGACGTTAGGACTTGGCACTCTCACTGCCGGGACACCAGTCTGGTCCCTGGTTGGGGAATTAAGATCCCATAAGCTGTGCAGCATGGAAAAAAAAATAACTAAAGAAAATTTTAAAAATAATCCTTTGTCTATTATAAATAAGCATGAGTTGATTAGAAGGTAAACAAGTGGGAGAAAGGCAAACTGTTACAAGTGTCCCCGAATGACCTATTACCAAGAGAACCATCAGCATATTTCAACTGGTGGATGAGTTTCAAAACTTCCATTAGTGTCAATTATTCACCAGTACATAACCACATAGTGTTCATTCATGTAACATGATAAGGACTCTTTAATACTTCACAGAGAAACAAAGGCATGCTATATTATTAAATAGTTAACCTTTCGACGATGCTTCCTTAAATCACTAGGCTGAAAGGTGCATGCAAAGAAATGAACAGAAACCAGATGGATTGCAACTTTGATACTAAAAGTGCAAGAATTGTTACAGGCAAATACACTAAAGCAAACATGAAGGCAAACATATGTGAGATGAAGACTTAAGAGAACATGTAACTGGAAACAGAACATATTTTTTAACCACAGAAGTGAAATAAGCTATTCAAGGTTTACTAGAGAAACACTATAAATTATAACTCAGGAAGATACCATTCTATTACAATATCATGATTTATTAAAGCAGAGCATTCTGTTCAACAAAGGGTCTTAAGAGTTGTCTGTTCTCAGCCACAATTCGCTATAACTTAGTTTCTCTTAATAGAAAACACGTTATACTTTAAAGGAGTAATTTCACTGATTAGGAAGTTACCATAATACCTATTTTAAACCTGAACAAATCTAACCAACTATTGGACATTAATGTAAAATCCTTACCTAGAATTTGATATAAAACTTTTCAGAATAAATCCATTAAAGCAGGTATCCCACGAAAATTTGTAAGGAAAGCTAGCATAATAGCAAGTGGAATCTTCACATCTTATGAACCATAAATGATACTTTGTAAAAGAGTCTAGTAGAGACATTAAACATGCAAAAGCTGATGAGATTTACCGTCTAAACTCCAAGCATCAACACAGAAAGGATATTGGGTCAAAAGACCATTAATTATACATTTAGAGGATCATTTCTCCATGTAAGCATAATCTCACTTATGATTACACAGGTTATGTAGTGGATGATCCACCTACACAATGCTTCTAACTGTACAGTGATACACTCACTCTAACTTACTGCTATGCAGGAAAAACACCATCTAATGAGACACGAAGACAAACCACAAACCAGACTAACAGGACACAGCACTGATATGACCAGAGCAAGTGGGAGGATGGGGGAGGGGAAACGGATGTGTGAACTACAGCCTCCGTTGGGAGGGATGGGAGGCTGGGGTCTGGATTGATGACGGCTAAACAGACAACAGGATGAGTCAGGAAATCAAAACCAATGATGAAAGCAGACACACCGTCAGAAAACTCCACAAGGAAAAAATATTCAGGACTGCTCTTTCACAAATACTCGGAAAGAAATCAAGCATGAAACCACAGAGAAATCGTCCAAGAATTTTAAATATCAACGACTTAGACAATGATACAAAGTATAAAAGCAGCGTGTCAAAAGACCACAAAATGGACCAGGTACCACTTCACATGCAGCTAAAATGACCCACATTTATTTTAATTCTATGCTAACAACACAGCTAACATGAAATGGGTGGTAACAGAAAAAAGGGATAATACAAGTGCAGTTTCAAGGCAGAGTGTTGTACACATGATTCAAGGGGTAAACAGCAATGCACTCAGAAACCTAGGCTACACAGGCAAGAAAGCTGGCACATGTGCTTTAGAGCTGCACACTCTGTCACCAGAAGCCCTAGGTCGTCATCCCGTGTTGAGACGCGGAAGAGTGAGGCAGCCCGACTTCTTCCCTGGGGCCCTGGGGCCCCGGGGCCTTTAAATGGTTTCACGTGCACAGCTGGCCTGAGCACATGGCAAGGCCCGTCAGCAAGCGGACCAGTTCAGATTCTTGGTTTTGTTGCCACCGCATGCCCTGAACCCTGCAGCCAGGCGACCCCGGTGGAACATGTGCTGCCCGGCTTTTACTCGCCATGAGGGCTGCCTGTGGTAACTTTCACGAGGCTGTCTGCTCCCTGACGACAGAAACTTCCCTGCCGCTGTTGTGCCCAGCACAGGCCAGGCCCACCGTTCCAGAGGCAGGCTCTGGCTGAGTTCACGATGGCTTGCTAAGCCGCTGGTCCAAATATCAAGACTGATTGGTCCCTGTGCCATTATGGAATGATTAAAGACCAGGCAGTTTCACAAGTCTTAGACTTCTGAGCGTAGCAAATGTACCTGATTTTCTCTGGGGAAAAAGAGAAAAAACAGAGAAAGAAAAACAGTGTGCTTGGGGAGGCATGTGGCAGGGAAGAGGCAGGCATATACCGGAGTCATGACGTCCAGCTGGTCTCCCTCGCACGCCAGGCTGTGCCACCTCCTTCGGGGATGGGAGCGCTCCCTGCTGGGCGGGCAGGAGCCAGCAAGTGAGGAGGCAAGACACAGGTTGAGGGAGCTCAGTGACTTAAAACGCTGGGAGTTTCTGGTTGGAGGCCATTTGCTGGCTCCTGTTTTGGGTCGTCTGTTCTCCCAGAGGCTCCTGGAGCCGGCCACCTGGACTGCGCCGCACGTGGGCTTAGAAGGCCAAACGCCCCTGGCCCTGGGACAGCCTCTTCAATCGAGGGGAAGCCGGCCTGGTGCGAAGATCATGTCCTCTTAATTTGGCCATGCACGACCCTGGTTTGGTCTTTCTTCTTTTTTCGGGAGAAGGGCTTTCCTTTGTGGAGACATGGAACTGCCCCCACAGCCCCTCCTCCAAACCTCCCCTCCTTCGTCCCCCACCCCCAGCCCTGTTGGTAGTGTTGGTTAATGAGCTGGTTTGACTCACTAAGTCCTTTCATTTTGGGTCCCGGCTCCCAAGGGGTGGGTGATGCCAGGGACAACTCCTTTCTTGGGTGAATTTTTCATTTGAATCATGCAGCTTAGTCATCCCGTGGCGAAGGCCAGGGCAGCTGCAGGTGCCCACTGTCAACAGCCTGCCTCCCGGGCAAGGTGGGGCTGCCATGCCTGGGACTGAGCTGGTGCCCACCTAAGGGCTCAGGCTCCTGCCAATGCCCATGGCATTTGCCCTGCAGAGCTGCAGGGGTTGGGGCGGGGGTGATGTCAGGGATCAGGGTGATGTGGTAATGATGCACCCCTCCCCTCACCCCGTTGATTTAAAGCTGTTTCCAAACAGTTGAGTCTCTCCTGAAGACGAAGCCTTGTCCCGAAAGGCCCAGTGAGACAGCTGGATCTTGGAGACAATTACGAGCTGGGAGCCCAACTCCTGACTGCCTGCTGATTCTGCCACTGATCATTTGCAGCTGCTTGTTTCGGTCTCCACCTTCAACCCCAGTGGCTGAAAAAGCCCATGATGTGTCGCTTAATTTTCTTTCTGATTCTCCCAGATCGGTGGCTGGGGGCTTGGGAGAGGACCCAGAGAAGGGAGCTAGCCACCTGCAATCCCTCTGGCTTTGGGGAACAAAGACTGATGTGAAGGCCCACAGAGAATTCTCTCTTCCAGTCTCAACCCCTTCAAGGGTGGCTGGAAGGGGAGGCAGGGGGCCGTTTTACATAGGATTAGCTTCCAGGTGGCTGCCATTTCAGCACAAGCAGTACTGAAATTCACATAAAAAAGAGAGAGCTGTGAAACTGAGGTCCGGAGTTAATAGGCCCTGCAGCGAGCCTGCGGGCCCGTGGTGCTTGCGAGAACGAGGGCCTGCCCCAAGCTGGGAGCATGGGCCTCAGCTGCGCCCCGAGGCTCATGCTGAGCTGCTCCCAGCACCGCAGGCCAGATTTACCTGCCGCAGGGCTGGAAGGAACCTGGCGGGGACCTCGCGTGCAGCGCCTCTTCTCCGCGGGAGTTGTCACACAGCCTGTCTCTGCAGATCCTGCTGCCGTGTGGGACCCAAGGTAGGCGGCCGGTGGGGGCGTCGGGGCCCCGGCAGCACGGGAGGGTTGGGGGGGGGTGCTGTTGGGGGGCCGAGTGTCAAGAGCCGGGACCCAGGGGTCTGGAGTTGCTCCTTCGTGGGCCTTGCCGGGCCTGACACTGAGGGAAGGCGCACTCGCGGGATTGCAGTTTTGTGTGTTTCCTTCTCTCTCTCCATATTTATTTTTTTAATTTATGGAGGCGGTGCAAATTTCAGGAATGGTTGGGGACTAAAGAAAGAACTCTCTAGCTCCATCCATGTGAAGCCTGGCGAGGTCTGCTCCTCTGCACTGGTCATCAGCATTGTGTAAAGAGACTGATACACTTGAGTGTGCAAGCAATGAAGCCGTTCGACATGCTGCTACGAAGACTAATTTGAGCACAATTTTAAAAAAAGGGAAAAAAACTAACCTACAAAAAAAACCCCACCCTTTATTCTTTAATTGTTGCTTTTACAGTGATATTGTGCATGCAAACTAGGAGCATTTTGTGTCTTAAGAAAAATAATCTGAGAACAGATGGCTGTGAAAATTACACCCGTGCACAGAACAAGTCACAGGAATAATAGTTCAGAATTTGGTTTTTCTCTTTTTTCTTGTAAAACCTGAAGGGTTGATATATTCTTTCCATACAGTTATTAGAACTTAGTTTTGTTCTAGCAGTTGTGAAACTTGCAATGAAAAGGAAATGTGCCATTTTTTTTGCCCACTTGGAACTATTCTTAGCTGTATATTTGAAACTGCTAATAACACACGAGCGACTTATGCTGGTTTTTTAGTGCAATTTCTTCTGTAGCTATTCTTTGACCAAACTGTGGGTATTGTTAATATTAATTTATATTTGTCTCATTTTTGTATGTATGCATAGCGTGGTTGTAAGTATGTGTGGTTTATAATCTAAAAAGGTCATAAAGCTCAGTTTGGCTGTAATTTAATTCCCTTCTCTTTATTTTTATTTATTTTTGTACTGTGCTGATTAAATAAAATGCACTGACCAAAAAAAACAAACAAACAGACAAAAAAAATGCCAAAGGCTGCAGAAGCGTGCTCCGCCCACCCTGCTCTCAGTCTCCTCAGCCCGCTGCTCCGTGCTCTCCCTTTCCTCCTGGAGCCACCTAAAAGAGACCAAAACTCGTGAGCTGCCTTTGTCAGCACAGCATCGTGTCTGGACAACAAATTTGGGCTGGCATTCTGTGTCACAATGAGCAAATTCCAGGAATATCTGCTCATTTCACATCTCGGCTAAAAGGTTCGACTTTCCCTCTTTTGAATATTCTCAAACTTGGAATAACTTGGCACTGAGTCTTACAAACTGGCCCCTGGTCATTCACGTTTGATTTGACTCGTTTACGCTAACATTCTGACGGGGCCTGTGTGGCGACTCTCTCCCTGTGAGGAGATACCTGAAGCTGACAACCTTAACCTTCCCTGCTCTCAGGGCAGAGGTGCACGTCAGTGCCTCAAGTCTTCTCCACTGGGAATCGGGAACTCTCTATAACCAACACAGCGATTCACAAACAAGCTGGAGTTTCTAAACAAAACTCCCCAGACCAGATGAAGTGCTGAGGGGATTTTTACTTTTTTAAGGATGTATGTGTAACAACACATCACTTGATGAAATTCTCCACCAGCTGTGTGTGAGTTTCTGGATTCATGTCAATCTGCCGCATTAACCTAGAATTCACGCTTACTGTTCTTCTCCCCTAATGTGTAGTGGATGATTTTATATAGCAGTTGAAATACACAATGATGCCTATAAAATGATTTCCAAATTAAAACACGGGATTCCTGCAGGTCATAACCTCTTCAGCTTCATTCTACGTAAAAGTCTTGAAAGTTTTTCACTTGTGATAGCAAGCTGATGGACACAATTTACTATTCATAAAAGAAGTCAACTTACTGCCTAAGGAAAATTCACTTTACCTGAAAACTTGCTGTAATAAAAAAATATTAATATGCAACCGTTCCATATTACCTGCGGGGACAGGGAAAGCCCATCTTTCTGAGCTAATCTGAGCTGAAACAAGGCCAAGGAGGCAGTCTGTCTCGGCATCAAAAGTGCAGGTGGCACCACCTGCATTTGCTGGCTGTGCCATTCTCGGCTACCCTCCCCCCGAGCCCCACGTGCTCGGCACTGAGGACCGGGCATCTCGGCCTGGGCTGACGTGAAGACAACAATCTAAGCAGCACCTCTGCCTGCTCCTGCACATGGTCACCGGCCTGTGACCGCTCTGCACGTGGAACCGGGACAGGGGCTCAGCTGTGCGGGTGTGGCCCAGGAAGGCCTCGGGGCCCCCGGACACCCAGCTACACCCAGAACCAAGACCTGCTGCTCATCACCAGGCAGACCTTTGCCTTCTATCTCGAGCTGTAAACTGTTACAACTGAGAAGACAGTGTCTAAAGAAAATATCTTAAATAACCTGATGAGATGAAAAAAGCTCAAACACATGTTTTGGGCCACTGTCTTACAACAAGCCAATCTTCACACTGTATTAACTTGAAAAGGACAATGCAGATCTGAATGGGAATTTGCCAACCCCCAAACCCCTGCTTTTCTGTTCCAGGTAGCTTTTCACCAGAACGTGGGAGTCTCCGATGGACACGGGAGGGTGAACTCTCAGTGCTGGAGGGCACACGGGACGCAGAGGACACTGCGTCGGCACCTCACCCACCTTGGGGCTCAGAGCTGGGGGGGGGACACCCCACAAAGCCCCCCCCCCACAGAGTGCTGACACCAGCTGTGGACAGAACGGCCTGCCTGTCTGAGCTCTCTCATCAAGGGTGGTCTGAGAACTGAAAATCCTTGAAGCAGGCTTGAAGTCAGTTTTCTCACTATGGAACACTCAAGACTTCTCGTAGGAGAAGACAGCTCCTCAGAGAAGCCCAGTTTCTGGGGAGCCGAGTTCGGGCACACCCACCGGGTCTCCTCACTGATGGTGTCCAGCTGCTCCCGAGGCATCACAGGCAGAGTGTCGGCATCGGCCTGCCCACTGGGCGGCAGCTGACCGGCCGAGCTGAAGAGGGTGACCCTGTCGCCCTCGCCGTCAGACACATCCTCGTCACTCTCGAAATCCTGGGCCATGGTGGCCACCACGCGGGTCTGCTGCGCGGACTCCCAGTCCTGCTCCCTCTGGCTCTGCACCTGGGCATGAGAGGACCACGGCTGGTCAGCGACATTCAGGACAGCTCACGTCTATCAGGAACCGAACACAATTTTACATGGAAGCCCGACTTTGGATAAACGGCCATGCCTATGAGACACTGCCATCTCTTAAGCGAGCAGTACTGAAGAAATGGGCTGGAGGAGAATCTAGTTCCTAGATGGCCTGCTGACACTCAGGTCAGCGTGGACGGAAGGCAATCCTATCAGGTTATTCACAAGAGTGCGCTGACGGAGTCAGGGACAAAAACGCAAAATTGCAAACATACATCCATGCCTCCATCAGGCAGGCTGAAGGAAAAGAAGAAGGAAAAAATCCTTCCGCTCCGCAGCCGCTGGGTCCGCCTCAGCGGTCGTCACTTGTACTAGTTCCCCGAGGAGTGCCGTCCTCACAGGTTCCCAGCCCTACGTGTTCCAGGCTGGCCCGAACATGCAGGGAGAGGAGCGAGCAGGGGCAGCCAGGGAACTGGAGGGGAGCCCTCCGCGGCTGTCCTCTCGGGGCACAGGCACTCGGGCTCTGCTGGGGGATAGCCCCTCGCACCGCAAGGGCGGCTCTGCCATCAGAGACGCACGGGAGAGTGCCTGCTGGGCCCTGTGCCGCCCTCCCGCTCTCACACCTCACACCCTTCTCTCTGCAAATCTCCCCCCTGTCCGACTCTCAACCCAGGTCCTGCCTTCTTTCCCACACATGACCTCAAAGCAACTGAGGGGCAGCCTCGAGGTGCTGGCTGCCGGCTACCTGGCCCCCGTGGCCAGAGCCCTCGCCCCCTGACTTCCTCACAACCCCTCCCCAGGGCTGGGCTACCCCCTTCGCTGGCAGCAAGTCCACCTGCCACCATCCCTGCTCCCCTCCAGCGCACCAGCTGCCTATGGGTTCACCCCTAGCAGCCCGGTCAGCACATCCTCTCGCTTCTCTCGCCTTCAAATGGCACAACGGGAACCAGCAGACTCCTCCTCCAGGGCACTCTGCAGTGCCCACTGGGGGTCTCTGAAGGCTGCCTGGGAGAGGCATCTGCTGTCCATACAGCGTATGATCCATCTACATTATGCTTTTAACTGTATAGTGGTGCACTAACTCTAACTTACTGCTATGCAGGAAAAACACCATTCAATGAGACACGAAGACAAACCACAAACCAGACTAACGGGACACAGCACTGATATGACCAGAGCGAGTGGGAGGATGGGGAGGGGAGATGGATGTGTGAACTACAGCCTCCGGTGAGGGGGATGGGAGGCTGGGATCTGGATTGATGACGGCTAGAGAGACAACACGATGAGTCAGGAAATCAAAACCAATGATGAGAGCAGGCACACCGTCAGAAAACGCCAGAAGGAAAAATTATTCAGGACTGTTCTTTCGCAAACACTCCGCAAGAAATCAAGCATGGAGCCACAGAGAAATGGCCAAGAATTTTAAATATCAACGACTTAGACAATGATACAAATTATAAAAGCAGTGTGTCAAAAGACCACAAAATGGACCAGGTACCACTTCACATGCAGCTAAAATGACCCACATTTATTTTAATTCTATGCTAACAACGCAGCTAACATGAAATGGGTGGGAACAGAAGAAAGGGATAATACAGGTGCAGTTTCAAGGCAGAGTGTTGTACACGAGATTCACGGGGTAAACAGCAATGCACTCAGAAAACTAGGCTACACAGGCAAGAAAGCTGGCACATGTGCTTTAGAGCCGCACACTCTGTCACCAGAAGCCCCAGGTCGTCATCCCGTGTTGAGACGCGGAAGAGTGAGGCAGCCCGACTTCTTCCCTGGGGCCCTGGGGCCCCGGGCCTTTAACTGGTTTCACGCGCACAGCTGGCCTGAGCGCGTGCGGCAAGGCCCATCAGCAAGCGGACCAGTTCAGATTCTTGGTTTTGTTGCCACCGCATGCCCTGCACCCTGCAGCCAGGCGACCCCGGTGGAACATGTGCTGCCCGCCTTTCACTCGCCATGAGGGCTGCCTGTGGTAACTTTCACGAGGCTGTCTGCTCCCTGACGACAGAAACTTCCCTGCCGCTGTCGTGCCCAGCACAGGCCAGGCCCACCGCTCCAGAGGCAGGCTCTGGCTGAGTTCATGATGGCCCGCTAAGCCGGTGGTGCAAATATCAACACTAATTGGTCCCTGTGCCATTATGGAATGATTAAAGACCAGGCAGGTTTAAAACTCTTAGCCCTCTGAGCATAGAAAATGTACCTGATTTTCCTCTGGGGATAAAGAGAAAAAACAAAGAAAGAAAAACAGTGTGCTCGGGGAGGGATGTGGCAGGGAGGAGGCAGACACATACCGCAGTCATGATGCCCAGCCGGTCTCCCTCGTGCGCCAGGCTGCGCCGCCTCCTTCGGGGTGGGGAGGGCGCCCTGCTGGGCGGGCAGGAGCTGGCAAGTGAGGAGGCAGGACACAGGTTGAGGGAGCTCAGGGACTCAAAACGCCGAAGGCTGCCTAAGCGCGCCCTGCCCGCCCTGCTCTCAGTCTCCTCGGCCCGCTGCTCCGTGCTCTCTTCCTCTTGGATCCACCTAAAGGAGAGCAAAACTCGTCAGCTGCCTCTGTCAGCACAGGAACCTGTCTGGACAGCAAATTTGGGCTGGCATTCTGTGTCACGATGAGCCAATTCCGGGAACATCTGCTCATTTCACATCTCGGCTAAAAGGTTCGACTTTCCCTCTTTTGAATATTCTCAAACTTGGAATAACTGAGCACTGAGTCTTACAAACTGGCCCCTGGTCATTCACGTTTGATTTGACTCCTTTACGCTAACATTGTGATGGGGCCCGACTGGCGACTCTCTCCCTGTGAGGAGATACCTGAAGTTGACAACCTTCACCTTCCCTGCTCTCAGGGCAGAGGTGCACGTCAGGGCCTCAAGTCTTTGCCACTGCAAATCGGGAACTCTCTATAACCAAAACAGCGATTCATGAACAAGCTGGAGTTTCTAAACAAAAGTCCCCAGACCAGATGAAGTGCTGAGGGGATTTTTCTTTTCTTACGGTTGCATATGTACAAACGCATCCCTTGATGAAGTTCTCCACCAGCTTTGTGCGAGTCTCTGGATTCATGTCAATGTGCCGCACTGACATAGAATTCACCCTCACTGCTCTTCTGCCCTAATGTGTAGTGGAGGATTTTAAATAGCAGTTGAAATACTCGATGATGCATATAAAATGACTTCCAAAATAAAATACAGGATTCTTGCAGGTCATAACCTCTCCAGCTTCACTTCTACCTATAAGTCCTGAAAGTTTTTCACTGGTGATAGCAAGCTGATGGACAGGATTTGCCATTTATAACAAGTCAACTTACTGCCTAAGGAAAATTCACTTTACCTGACAACTTGCTGTTCAAATAAAAATACTAACATGGAACCGTTCCATCGTTCCTGCGGGGATGGGGAAAGCCCATCTTTCTGAGCTCGTCTGAGCTGAAACAGGGCCCAGGAAGCAGTCTGTCTCGGCGTCAAAAGTGCAGGCGGCACCACCTGCGTTTGCTGGGTGTGCCGTTCACCCCTGACTTTCCCCCGAGCCCCGCGTGCTCGGCCCGCAGGCACGGGCACCTCGGCCTGGGCTGACGTGACGAGAACAATCTGAGCAGCAGCTCTGCCTGGTCCTGCACAGGGTCACCGGCCTGCGGCCACTCTGGACGTGGACCCGGGACAGGGGCGTAGCTGTGCGGGTGTGGCCCAGGCAGGCCTCGGGGCCCCCGGACACCCGGCTGCACCCAGACCCAAGGCCCGCTGCTCACCACGAGGCGGGCCTTTGCCTTCTATCCCGTGTTGTAAACTGTTACAACTGCCAAGACGGTGTCTAAAGAAAACATCTGAAATATCCTGATGAGATGAGAGAAACTCAAACATATGTCCTTGGGCCACTGTCTTACAACAAGCCAATCTTCACACTGTATTAACTTGAAAAGGACAATGCAGATCTGAATGGGAATTTGCCAACCCCCAAACCCCTGCTTTTCTGTTCCAGGTAGCTTTTCACCAGAACGTGGGAGTCTCCGATGGACACGGGAGGGTGAACTCTCAGTGCTGGAGGGCACACGGGACGCAGAGGACACTGCTTCGGCACCTCACCCACCTTGGGGCTCAGAGCTGGGGGGGGACACCCCACAAAGCCCCCCCACAGAGTGCTGACACCAGCTGTGGACAGAACGGCCTGCCTGTCTGAGCTCTCTCATCAAGGGTGGTCTGAGAACTGAAAATCCTTGAAGCAGGCCTGAAGTCAGTTTTCTCACTATGGAACACTCAAGACTTCTCGTAGGAGAAGACAGCTCCTCAGAGAAGCCCAGTTTCTGGGGAGCCGAGTTCGGGCACACCCACCGGGTCTCCTCACTGATGGTGTCCAGCTGCTCCCGAGGCATCACAGGCAGAGTGTCGGCATCGGCCTGCCCACTGGGCGGCAGCTGACCGGCCGAGCTGAAGAGGGTGACCCTGTCGCCCTCGCCGTCAGACACATCCTCGTCACTCTCGAAGTCCTGGGCCATGGTGGCCACCACGCGGGTCTGCTGTGCGGACTCCCAGTCCTGCTCCCTCTGGCTCTGCACCTGGGCATGAGAGGACCACGGCTGGTCAGCGACATTCAGGACAGCTCACGTCTATCAGGAACCGAACACAATTTTACATGGAAGCCCGACTTTGGATAAACGGCCATGCCTATGAGACACTGCCATCTCTTAAGCGAGCAGTACTGAAGAAATGGGCAGGAGGAGAATCCAGTTCCTAGATGGCCTGCTGACACTCAGGTCAGCATGGACGGAAGGCAAGCCTATCAGGTAATTCACAAGAGTGCGCTGACGGAGTCAGGGACAAAAACGCAAAATTGCAAACATACATCCATGCCTCCATCAGGCAGGCTGAAGGAAAATAAGAAGGAAAAAAATCCTTCTGCTCCAAAGCCGCTGGGTCCGCCTCAGCGGTCGTCACTTGTACTAGTTCCCCGAGGAGTGCCGTCCTCACAGGTTCCCAGCCCTACGTGTTCCAGGCTGGCCCGAACACGCAGAGAGAGGAGCGAGCAGGGGCAGCCAGGGAACTGGAGGGCCAGCCCTCCGCGGCTGTCCTCTCGGGGCACAGGCACTCGGGCTCTGCTGGGGGATAGCCCCTCGCACCGCAAGGGCGGCTCTGCCATCAGAGACGCACGGGAGAGTGCCTGCTGGGCCCTGTGCCGCCCTCCCGCTCTCACACCTCACACCCTTCTCTCTGCAAATCTCCCCCCTGTCCGACTCTCAACCCAGGTCCTGCCTTCTTTCCCACACATGACCTCAAAGCAACTGAGGGGCAGCCTCGAGGTGCTGGCTGCCGGCTACCTGGCCCCCGTGGCCAGAGCCCTCGCCCCCTGACTTCCTCACAACCCCTCCCCAGGGCTGGGCTACCCCCTTCGCTGGCAGCAAGTCCACCTGCCGCCATCCCTGCTCCCCTCCAGCGCACCAGCTGCCTATGGGTTCACCCCTAGCAGCCCGGTCAGCACATCCTCTCGCTTCTCTCGCCTTCAAATGGCACAACGGGAACCAGCAGACTCCTCCTCCAGGGCACTCTGCAGTGCCCACTGGGGGTCTCTGAAGGCTGCCTGGGAGAGGCATCTGCTGTCTATACAGCGTATGATCCATCTACATTATGATTTTAACTGTATAGTGGTGCACTAACTCTAACTTACTGCTATGCAGGAAAAACACCATTCAATGAGACACGAAGACAAACCACAAACCAGACTAACGGGACACAGCACTGATATGACCAGAGCGAGTGGGAGGATGGGGAGGGGAGATGGATGTGTGAAGTACAGCCTCTGGTGGGGGGGATGGGAGGCTGGGGTCTGGATTGATGACGGCTAAACAGACAACACGATGAGTCAGGAAATCAAAACCAATGATGAAAGCAGGCACACCGTCAGAAAACTCCACAAGGAAAAATTATTCAGGACTGTTCTTTCACAAACACTCCGAAAGAAATCAAGCATGAAGCCACAGAGAAATCGCCAAGAATTTTAAATATCAACGACTTAGACAATGATACAAATTATAAAAGCAGTGTGTCAAAAGACCACAAAATGGACCAGGTACCACTTCACATGCAGCTAAAATGACCCACATTTATTTTAATTCTATGCTAACAACGCAGCTAACATGAAATGGGTGGGAACAGAAGAAAGGGATAATACAGGTGCAGTTTCAAGGCAGAGTGTTGTACACGAGATTCATGGGGTAAACAGCAATGCACTCAGAAAACTAGGCTACACAGGCAAGAAAGCTGGCACATGTGCTTTAGAGCCGCACACTCTGTCACCAGAAGCCCTAGGTCGTCATCCCGTGTTGAGACGCGGAAGAGTGAGGCAGCCCGACTTCTTCCCTGGGGCCCTGGGGCCCCGGGCCTTTAACTGGTTTCACGCGCACAGCTGGCCTGAGCGCGTGCGGCAAGGCCCATCAGCAAGCGGACCAGTTCAGATTCTTGGTTTTGTTGCCACTGCATGCCCTGCACCCTGCAGCCAGGCGACCCCGGTGGAACATGAGCTGCCCGCCTTTCACTCGCCAAGAGGGCTGCCTGTGGTAACTTTCACGAGGCTGTCTGCTCCCTGACGACAGGAACTTCCCTGCCGCTGTCGTGCCCAGCACAGGCCAGGCCCACCGTTCCAGAGGCAGGCTCTGGCTGAGTTCATGATGGCCCGCTAAGCCGGTGGTCCAAATATCAACACTAATTGGTCCCTGTGCCATTATGGAATGATTAAAGACCAGGCAGGTTTAAAACTCTTAGCCCTCTGAGCATAGTAAATGTACCTGATTTTCCTCTGGGGATAAAGAGAAAAAACAAAGAAAGAAAAACAGTGTGCTCGGGGAGGGATGTGGCAGGGAGGAGGCAGACACATACCGCAGTCATGATGCCCAGCCGGTCTCCCTCGTGCGCCAGGCTGCGCCGCCTCCTTCGGGGTGGGGAGGGCGCCCTGCTGGGCGGGCAGGAGCTGGCAAGTGAGGAGGCAGGACACAGGTTGAGGGAGCTCAGGGACTCAAAACGCCGAAGGCTGCCTAAGCGCGCCCTGCCCGCCCTGCTCTCAGTCTCCTCGGCCCGCTGCTCCGTGCTCTCTTCCTCTTGGATCCACCTAAAGGAGAGAAAAACTCGTCAGCTGCCTCTGTCAGCACAGGAACCTGTCTGGACAGCAAATTTGGGCTGGCATTCTGTGTCACGATGAGCCAATTCCGGGAACATCTGCTCATTTCACATCTCGGCTAAAAGGTTCGACTTTCCCTCTTTTGAATATTCTCAAACTTGGAATAACTGAGCACTGAGTCTTACAAACTGGCCCCTGGTCATTCACGTTTGATTTGACTCCTTTATGCTAACATTCTGATGGGGCCCGAGTGGCGACTCTCTCCCTGTGAGGAGATACCTGAAGTTGACAACCTTCACCTTCCCTGCTCTCAGGGCAGAGGTGCACGTCAGGGCCTCAAGTCTTTGCCACTGCAAATCGGGAACTCTCTATAACCAAAACAGCGATTCATGAACAAGCTGGAGTTTCTAAACAAAAGTCCCCAGACCAGATGAAGTGCTGAGGGGATTTTTCTTTTCTTACGGTTGCATATGTACAAACGCATCACTTGATGAAGTTCTCCACCAGCTTTGTGCGAGTCTCTGGATTCATGTCAATGTGCCGCATTGACATAGAATTCACCCTTACTGCTCTTCTGCCCTAATGTGTAGTGGAGGATTTTAAATAGCAGTTGAAATACTCGATGATGCATATAAAATGACTTCCAAAATAAAATACAGGATTCTTGCAGGTCATAACCTCTCCAGCTTCACTTCTACCTATAAGTCCTGAAAGTTTTTCACTGGTGATAGCAAGCTGATGGACAGGATTTGCCATTTATAACAAGTCAACTTACTGCCTAAGGAAAATTCACTTTACCTGACAACTTGCTGTTCAAATAAAAATACTAACATGGAACCGTTCCATCGTTCCTGCGGGGATGGGGAAAGCCCATCTTTCTGAGCTCGTCTGAGCTGAAACAGGGCCCAGGAAGCAGTCTGTCTCGGCGTCAAAAGTGCAGGCGGCACCACCTGCGTTTGCTGGGTGTGCCGTTCACCCCTGACTTTCCCCCGAGCCCCGCGTGCTCGGCCCGCAGGCACGGGCACCTCGGCCTGGGCTGACGTGACGAGAACAATCTGAGCAGCAGCTCTGCCTGGTCCTGCACAGGGTCACCGGCCTGCGGCCACTCTGGACGTGGACCCGGGACAGGGGCGTAGCTGTGCGGGTGTGGCCCAGGCAGGCCTCGGGGCCCCCGGACACCCGGCTGCACCCAGACCCAAGGCCCGCTGCTCACCACGAGGCGGGCCTTTGCCTTCTATCCCGTGTTGTAAACTGCTACAACTGCCAAGACGGTGTCTAAAGAAAACATCTGAAATATCCTGATGAGATGAGAGAAACTCAAACATATGTCCTTGGACCACTGTCTTACAACAAGCCAATCTTCACACTGTATTAACTTGAAAAGGACAATGCAGATCTGAATGGGAATTTGCCAACCCCCAAACCCCTGCTTTTCTGTTCCAGGTAGCTTTTCACCAGAACGTGGGAGTCTCCGATGGACACGGGAGGGTGAACTCTCAGTGCTGGAGGGCACACGGGACGCAGAGGACACTGCGTCGGTACCTCACCCACCTTGGGGCTCAGAGCTGGGGGGGACACCACACAACTCCCCCCCAGAGAGTGCTGACACCAGCTGTGGACAGAACGGCCTGCCTGTCTGAGCTCTCTCGTCAAGGGTGGTCTGAGAACTGAAAATCCTTGAAGCAGGCCTGAAGTCAGTTTTCTCACTATGGAACACTTAGACTTCTCATAGGAGAAGACAGCTCCTCAGAGAAGCCCAGTTTCTGGGGAGCCGTGTTCAGGCGCACCCACCGTATCTGTTTGTTGATGGCGTCCAGGTGCTCCTGAAGTTTCACAGGCAGAGTGTCGGCATCTGCCTGCCCACTGGGCAGCAGCTGACCGGCCGAACTGAAGAGGGTGGGCCCATCACCTTCGCCATCAGGCACATCCTCGTCAGTCTCGAAGTCCTCGGCCACGGTGGCCACCACGCGGGCCTGCTTTGCGGACTCCCAGCCCTGCTCCCTCTGGCTCTGCACCTGGGCATGAGAGGACCACGCCCTGTCAGCGACATTTAGGACAGCTCACGTCTATCAGGAACCGAACACAATTTTACATGGAAGCCCGACTTTGGATAAGCGGCCATGCTTAGGAGACACTGCCATCTCTTAAGCGAGCAGTACTGAAGAAACGGGCAGGAGGAGAATCCAGTTCCTAGATGTCCTGGTCACTCTCAGTTCTTAGCGTGGACGGAAGGAAATCCTATGAGGTTATTCAAAAGGGTGGGCCGATGGAGTCAGAAACAAAAACGCAAAATTAAAAACATACATCCATGCCTCCAGCAGGCAGGCTGAAGGAAAACATGAAAGAAAAAATCCTTCAGCTCCGTAGCCAATAGGTCTGCCTCAGCAGTCATCACTTGCACTAGTTCCCCGAGGAGTGCCATCCTCACAGGTTCCCAGCCCTACGTGTTCCAGGCTGATCTGCACACTCACAAACAGGAGCGAGCAGGGCAGCCAGGGGACTGGAGGGCCAGCCCCCGCGGCTGTCCTCTCGGGGCACAGGCACTCGGCCTCTTCTGGGGGAGAGCCCCTCGCACCGCAAGGGCGGCTGTGCCATCAGAGACGCACGGGAGAGTGCCTGCTGGGCCCCGTGCCGCCCTCCTGCTCTCACACCCTTCTCTCTGCAAATCTCCCCCCTGTCCGACTCTCAACCCAGGTCCTGCCTTCTTTCCCAGACAGGACCTCAAAGCACCCGAAGGCCAGCCTCGAGGTGCTGGCTGCCAGCTACCAGTCCCGTGGCCAGAGCCCTCACCCCGTCTTCCTCACGACCCCTCCCCAGGGCTGGGCCACCCCCTTCACTGGCTGCAGGACCACCTGCCATCATCCCTGCTCCCCTCCAGCGCACCAGCTGCCTATGGGTTCACCCCCATCAGCCCGGTCAGCACATCCTCTCGCTTCTCCCACCTTCCGATGCCTCAACAGGAACCAGCGGACTCCTCCTCCAGGGCTCCCTGCAATGCCCACTGGGGGTCTCTGAGGGCTGCCTGGGAGCGGCCTCTGCTGTCCCTGTCCCGCCTGCTCTCCAGCTCTCTGCAAGCAGGCGCTGTGCCCTGCCCTACCGGGCAGCTCCCCGGGAGCTGGAGGAGCCCATGTCACCAAGCCCACTCCCCTCCTTGCCCAGCCCGCCGCCCTCCAACATGTCTCTCCCTGGCTCTAGGCCCGGCCCTCCCTGGGGTTATTCCTCAGGCCCTTGCGCCCCTTTTCAAAGATAAATAACATCTGATGTCCACCACCACAGCCTTCATACTTTGTGAAAATGAAAGTATACAAATGACGAATCCTTAACTGAAATTACACGGTGACTGATCAAACTTACCTCTCTGTGTTTGGTACTTAATTCCTCTTCTAAGGAACTACACCTTTGAAGTGTTCGTCGTAGTTCCTCTCTCAACTGAAATAAAAGGGGCCGAATCACTGTGTGTTGATCTGTGTACATACGTTAGTGCACTTCTTATTGTACCCTCACATGATTGCATGGTTACTGTAACAGAACACCTTTAATGTCTCTCATTGACCTTAAGGTGAAGAAAATCTGCTTACTAACGGCTTTAAACTCTAAGTTTCAGAATTTATCCTAAAAGAACTGTATTACCCAGTTTTTAATTGCAAATTGACAAACAGAATAAAATAAATCTTGAGACATTTATGCCAACTAATACTTTTTAACTGGGGGCTTCCCAGGAGGCTCAGTGAGAAAGAATCTGCCTGCCAGTGTGAGAGGGCAGGTTCGATCCCTGGGTTGGGAAGATCCCCTGGAGTAGAAGATGGCCACCCACTCTAGTATTCTTGCCTGGGAAGCCCCATGAAGAGAGGAGCATGGTAGTCTATGGTCCACAGGGTCGCAAAACTCAGACATGTCTGAGCATGTACACAGGCAACGCTTTTTAACCATATAAAACTCTGAGTTCTTACGGAAAAACTGTATTTACAAGAATTCAAGAAGCTCAAAAGTCAACTAGTTCCATAAACACACGCATCGTCCACCTAACCAGGCAGCAAGTGTACAAATCCAGGACGGCCGCGTGGCTGGTACCTTCTCGTCCAGGGCCTTGTGGTGCTCGAAGAGCAATCTCAGTGCCCTGAGGACCTCCAACTCGCTGGTCATGCTGGCTGGGGACCGCGCCTGATGCCTCTCCACCGTCATCTGGAGGGACGGCACGTACCGGGAAACCAGGAGCTCCAGGTGTTCCAGCAGCAGCTGCAAGGTGGGGCCAAAGGAGCACCTTCAACCTCACACTTGAATTCAGGGCCCAGAACGCCTCTCAGCCTCACGCTAAGACCGAAACCATGCTAAGGCATGTCGGAATCCCGCCAGTTCAGTCTAAAGTTAGAGTGGACTTCCCCAGTGGCCCAGGAGTTAACACTCCACACTTCTGCAGGGCTCATGGGTTTTAATCCCTGTGTGGGAACTAAGATCCCACACAAACTGCAGCATGGACAAAAATGGAAGCTAAGAGAACTCTCCCCTCAAATGTACTAAAATTACATTAGCTTTCATCATCAATTTGAAGCAAGGTGTGAGAAACCCGAACTGATCCACCTCGGTCTGCTCAGTGGGAGGATGTGAAAAATGACTTGAAAACCAGACTTTCAAGACAGCAACATGGAGACCAGCGGTGACCCCTGCGGGGCACAGGTCAACACGTGAGACTCCGCCTACTGACCCTGGTGTTGTTCCTTTCTGCTTTTAGTTCCGAGATTTCTGCTTCTCTTCTAAGAAGCTGCTCCCTGCATGCTTTTAGCTGTCGACATGCCAACTCCTAGAAAACAGGTCAATGAGGAAGTAAATAAATGCAAACACAAATGTTAAAGAGAGCGAGACTCTGAAGACTGACACTGTCCAGTCTCTCCAGGCTCCACTCAAAGGATCTCCCTGCCCCTCCGGAGAAGAGGGGGCCCACTGACCCCAAGACCACACAGACCCCTACAACTCAGACTGGCCTGCAGCCTCCACCTCGACCTGGCAGGCACGTGGCAGGGGAGAACCCGGAATCCAAGCCTGTGCGGTAGGGGAGAACCCGGAATCCAAGCCTGCCTTCTCAAGACGCAGGGAAGTCTGAGAGACTTTCCTAAACATACACTTAAGAACAAAGTGGATAAAGAGATTCTTAAACGACACACAGACAAGTGACCGAGAGCCCCTGGGGAGAGTGAAGAAGAAAGGTAAGGTCTTCAAGGCCACCAGGCTTTGGAGTGTTCCTCTGGGAAAGAGGCTGATGGCACCCCAAGGCCGTCTGTTAGCCTGACTCCACTGAAGTCACCCAGTCATTCAACGAACTGCTTAAAATGGTAAATTCATGTTATATGTATTTTATCACAATATGCACATACGCGGGGCCGTCCACGTGGTGAACTTGCTCAAACCGAACCACACGGACTCTTTCATTCTTCTATTGTTCTTTGCACAAATACAAAAATCCTGGGCTATGTCTCCCCTACTACATACTAAGTATTCAGCACCTAGAGCACTGCCCAGCACTTTGTAAGAGGCATGTAGTAGACATGTGAGGCTGTGAGGGTGTGTGTCATACACAGGAGCAGTAGGCACCCGTCATTAGAACACCGGGCGCACTGCTCTGGGCTTTGGACGATGGCAGACGTTAAGGGGCTCAGCCTTTCTGCTCCAAGGACTGACTCTCTAGCTCGACCCACACGCCCCAGAGACTCCTCCAGCCAGTGGATCCCTTGTTTGGAAGAAGAGAGACTTTAAGGGGCTTAGCCTTTCCTTTCTGCTCCAAGGACCGACTCTAGAGCTCAGTCCACGTGCCCCAGTGACTCCTCCAGCCCCTGTTCCCCTTCCTGTGGGGCCCCCGCCCATTGTCCACGCAGCATCTGCACGGCCTCTTACAAGGTCAACCTGCTGGGGTCCATCCTGCCCAGGAGGCCAGAACGCCTTGGCCGGCAGGGCCCACGAGCATGCGAACAAAGTAAAACACAACCCCAACTCTTTGCCGGGTGAGGGCCAACCCGACGGGCCCATCCCCCGGCTGCTCTCACCTCCGGGCACTCTGCTTCCACGACTTGGGATGAGGCCAACTTATTTCTTGTCTTGGCCTTTTTCTTGGGGTTGCAGCATGGGAAAAGTGCCCATAGGATGGCCCTTCTGCGACCCATCCTCGCGGATGGGGGCAGCCCCCCACTTGGGGGCACCTGCTGTTTCTCAGGCAGATCCCTAAGTGCCTGAGGTATCACTACCGATCTCACACTATGACCACTGCTCTCACACACCGCTCTCACACACACCACTCTCACACACACCACTCTCACACACACCACTCTCACACTGCTCTCACACTATGACCACCAGCTCCGCTATCTCAAGAAGAAATGACACGAAGGCTCTGCCTCCAGCACGTCACCCGGGAGCCCGGATCATGAAAGCCACTCTGTCACAAAGGGCTCCATGGTAACAGGGGGGCTGGGCTCCGGCCCACCATCAAGGGTGCAGAGAGTGGGGAGGGGCTGCCAAAAACATGGCAGGTGTGTGTTGGGTGCGGGAGAAGGAAGGCCGTGCCCACAGCTCAGGCCCACCATCAAATGTCACCCTGCAAGGTCACTGGGTCACAGTCAAACCGAACAGTATAAACTGCTTCAGAAACCACCACCGCTAGGGATGAGCACGTCTTCTAAGTGGGCTTCTGCTTCTTCCACCCCCGAAACAAGCCTGCAGTGAGGCTACTGAAAGGGCACCCCTGAACTCAAGGGTGTGCCCAGAACCCACATGGCTGAGGAGGACTCCCCGCACTGGCTGCCCCTCACTCTCACCCTGAGCTTGGTCCTCCCTGACTGGCTCCCTCACTTGAGCTCAGCAAGGGCTTGACCAACCTTGCTCTGGGCGCTTACAATGAACCCAGAGTGGGGACAGGGGTTCATTCAACCTGCTGTGAGCTCACCTTCTTAACTTCAACCCTGGGCCGCCAGACGACTCGGCCCCATGGGGACTGCATGGTGCAGGTTCAGGGGTGGCCCTGCCTCAAGCCGTGACAGCCAGCACCTCCCAGATCCCTCCAGGGGCTGCCCCGCCCTCCACGCGCAAGTCTCCCACCCCCTCTCCTGACCCCACTCCCAGCCTCGCGGCTCTCCACACACCAGGGCATAGCCCACACTGCTCCTGGCTCAGCCTGGTCCTCTGCGGTCACTTGAGGACTCAGTCCCCGGGGTGCTTGAGGTCCTATATCCGCCTATCTCAGCAATGACAGACTCTGGGGAGACAGGGTACAGTTTGGGGTCCCACCCGCAGTGCACCCTGAACACGGTCTCTTTTTTTTTTTTTTTGCTTTATCTACTGCAGTTCTCTGAGACGTCTTTTGAAAACCTCAACTGTGGCTTTCAAAAAGACTGTAAAATCACTGTGCTCAACTTGAAGAATAAAATCTTCATTTTCAACCTTAAAGTGAAACTGGAGGGAAGATTAAAAGCAGTCATTTTTCAAACTGAAAAAGAAAACCCACAGGTGACCCCATCACACAACAGGTCACGCAGCCCCGCTCTCCTCAGCTTCTCCTCCACCACCAGCAGCCCGTCATCGCAAGGCCTGCCCTGGGCTGGCAGGCGCAGGGGAAGCAGGCACACCGGCTCTTCCGTCCCCAGGCTGCGTGGGCTGCTTGCTCCACCTTCTTCCCAAATTCAAGTGGCACTGAAAGAGCATGGGCAAGCTGGGGATTCTGATCCGAAACACAACCGTGGGTACTAAGCAAGGACCCCTGCCTCTTGTTTTCCCGGTATCAAATAAAGATGATCAGTATAATTAGTGTGATGCTTACATGTGGCTTCAGATGAGAGAAGACACCCAGAGCTTCCCCACGTCCAGTTACAAACGCAAGCAGCTTGTAGGTCAGCCTACCCAGAGCTAGAAAAGCTAAATACATTTTAAAAGAGGTCCTCAGGCAGCCACAATCCAAGATCTCAAGCAAAAGGGAAGCCCAGTGAGGCAGCTGGAGACTGAGAGGCCGCTCCTTCCCCCGGGACATCTGAACAAAGCTGACTCTGCAAAGAAAAGGCGGGGGAACGTCCAGCAGAGGGGACTGGCTGACACAGCTCTGGACAGCTCCTCGGACTGGGAAGACAAACATATGAGCGTAGGCCTGACAAGTCAGTCCTGATGGTAGAGACCAGTCTCCCTAAGAAAAGTTAGGCACAGAAAACGTACCCAACACCCTGCCCAAACTGGCTGAGCACTGAGTATCAATCACCTCGTGGTCTTCAGGAGGTGGACGGTGGGATTCAGGACCTGCCTAAAAGGAGGGGCCCTGGGAGGCACCCCAGGCTTCCAGATGGAGATGCTGGAGGGCTCCTCCCTGGGGTCGGGTGAGGGGGGCGGGGAAAGTGGGTGAAGGCTGCTGAGACTCAGCTCACAAGGACCCCCTAGCCTCAAGTCACTCAGGCCCTGAGCGAACACAGAGCTCTGTCCCCACGAGAGGTCTACGTCAGAGGAAAGCCTGGAGAAGACAGCATCACTCAGCACCTCTAGGGCTTTCCAAACGTAGTACCCAACATGCAAACAACAAACCAAAAAAGGGTGTAACAACAAACAGGACCAACAGAAAAAGAACTGAAACAGATCCAGAGGGATCAGATGCATATCAGCATATCAGAGGTATGCTAGATGTATCAATTGCAAATGTCACCAGTTCAAAAAATATACTTGACCAAAGAAAAAATTTCTGAGAATCAAAACGGATGCTACAACTATAAAAAAAAACAGTGACGGAATTTAAGAACTCAGTCTCTGGGATTAACATCAAATTAGAAATAGCTGAACAGAGGATCAGTGAAATGAAGGATGGATCAGTTAAAAATATATATATGACGGAAAAGTATAGAATATATTGAAAGAACCTGTTGTTAAACTATGTTGTTAAAGATATAAATGGGTCCCCTTATGAGGGAGAAAAGACAGAAAGGGGAATAAGAAATGCCTCCAGGAGTTGGAACTAAACAGCCTATTGATGAAAGTGTAAGAGAAGAGTGAAAAAGATGGCATACAATTGAGCATTCAGAGCTAAATCACAGATTTGTCAGTTTCTCCAGAAGTAACCTATTTTTGATTCCCAAGGAGAATCGCAATAATAAAACTAAATTAATCTAGTAGGTTATTTTCTCTCTAATGGCACCTGTCCTGATTAATAGGATTTCGGTCGATCTATTTCCTGGGCTTCCCTGGTGGCTCAGATGGTCAAGAATCTGTCTGCAATGCAGGAGACCTGGGATCCATGCCTGGGTTGAGAAGATCGCCTGGAGAAGGGAATGGCAACCTCTTCCACTATTCTTGCCTAGAGAATTCCACGGACAGAGGAACTTGGGAGGCCACAGTCCATGGAGTCACAAAGAGTCGGACACAGCTGAGCAACTAATACACATATTTTCTTACCATTTGCTGAGTAGAAGCAATCATTCAGAGCATTTTATAGCACTTTCTAAAGAACGCTTAGTGCCTTAGTGTTTCTATTTAAAGTTTCTAGGATGTTAATTTATATGCAAATAAAATACATAAGAGAGTTCTGTGCCTATTGTGTATATATGACCTCAAAGTAAATGCAAAATATTTATCCCAGAGGGAAAATAAGTTAGAGTGTCTGTGTTCAAAGACTTTTGAAAGCTCTTATTTCAGGCCGAACCGTTGCTGGTGAAGAGTGAAAGTCACTCAGTCATGTCAGACTCTGCGAACGCATGGACTATACAGTCCATGGAATTCTCCAGGCCAGAATACTAGAGTGGGTAGCCGTTTCCCTTCTCCACGGGGTCTTTGCAACCCAGGGATCGAACCCAGGTCTCCTGCATTGCAGGTGGATTCTTCACCAGCTGAGCCACCAGGGAAGCCCCAACAGTTATGAGCAGTTAAGGATTTAACAAATGCTAGATTGTAAAGATAAAATAATAATTCTGCTACGTTAACACACATTTTCTTAAGATCAAATGTTCTCAACGCAGTTTCAGGGAAGAAGTATTTCCCCCTTATGGAAATATCAGTATGTTAATCCCTAAGAAGTCCTTTTCCGAAAAGTTACAAAATAGTTGCGACAATGTAGATGATGTAGATTAAATGGTGATAAACATTGAGTTGATCTCAGTGAGGCAGCAGTGAGTGGTGGCCTGAAGTGAGATCTACTTCGCTGCCCAGGAACTGACCCTGGGTAGCCTGAACCAAAACCAGGAATCCTAGCCGCCAGACCAGCAAGGGCTAGAGGCTAGAAGCCAAGTTTCCCTGGATCTTTGACCAGTGAAAAATGCATTTATCATGGAGGCAGAATCGGTAAATGCAGGTACAACGTTTATTATTAGTGACACAGCACAGCAACATGTGGGAAAGCACACGGAGAAACAGCTGGTCTCGTTAAGACAGAAGCAAAGCAGAGAGACACACCTGGAGAGAAAGGTTATGGGCGCCCCCTAGTGAGAAGGAGCACAATAACCACAAGGCAGTTAAGTCATTTAGACAGGCCAGTTCTTCTGGGTCTTTGTCTTCCTTCCTGCCAAGTTTCTGGTTTCTCTCTTCCCATCTGACCTATCCTGGGACTCTCCCCTGGTGTGCACATACCCCTCAGCCAAGATGGATCTCCAGGTGGAGGCTTCTGGGAGAAGCAAGGCTCATTATGGTCTGGCATTTTCCCGGGATTTTCACCCACAAGGAGCCTCTCTGCGCATGTGTAGTGTTTCCCTTGAACCAAAAGGGGGGTGGGGGGAGGGGAGATCTCTTCATCCTTGACTCAAGCAGGAGTTTGTCCCTCTTTGCCCTTCCCATGGCTATGAAAGTGTTCATAAGAGACAGACACTGGCTATTTACCCTCTTTCTGTTGTTACTTCCATTTCAGAGGGCAAGCAGGACACTGATTGTAAAGGCTCAACTGGAGCCCAACCATCTCTTGCCTCAGGAAATGTAAACAGGCTAGATGTCAATGCCTAACCTGGAGTCCATCTGTCTCCTACAGCAGCATTATGGGAAGACAAAAGGTGGAAAATTATGCCAATGGGGCACCACATGATGGTGCAAAAAGATGGATATAGACAAGGAAAGAAGGAATAAAAACTAAGCATTATGCTAATGGAAACCATTATGCAAGTTAATGGGGGGTGGGGGGAAACCTCATGGAAACCACTTGCTTTTATGCCATAAA